GATGAGGCCCCTTCTATCACTTAAATTGTCAAACTCACCACGATTTTGTTTATCTTGAAAGGTAGAATTTGTTTGTAATCGTCATAAACCATGAAATAATAGGATGAGGTAGATCGAAAGTCTAAAATATTTTGATTTTTTTTTGTTTTTTTTTTTTGGTGTTTTGTGGGCATTAAAATAGATTTTGAAGTTCAAAACGAGTATGTTTATGTTATTTCTATGATTTTATAGTGTTTTTGGATAAAACTACAGTTGAATTTAGTATTGAAAGGCCAAAAATTAAGAAACTGGACTTTTTGGCTACTTTTCGACGAAATTGAGTTTGTTAGAAATTACAAAGGTGGCCAAAATTAAAAAACAACAATTTTTATTTACTTATTTATTTATGAAATCCTAGCCCGGCAAACCCAATGCTCAAAGCCCAAGCGTGCAAGCTCGGTACTTCATGGCCAAACGTGCAAACCTAGTCCTCTAGGACTAAATGCGCGGGCCGATAACTTTGTTTTTGTTTTATTTTTATTTAATTTTTTTATTAAGATTTTTTAAGCAAAATTATAGAACATCAAGCTTTATTATTTGTGTTTTTCATGCAACATGGCGATGATAAAATATATATACTATTTTTTGTAATATTTTAAAATTAACACATCAAATTATATTACTTTTATTATTTAAATTTTATTTTTAAAATTTTTCATTTCTTTATGAAAATTCTCATCTAATTATTTTTTTTATAAAATTTTATTTACTTATAAATATAATTTATTTTTCTCTATATTTGGATTTTAGAATAAAATTTTAAAAAATGATTGTTTTTTCTTTTTTAAAAAATAAATTGATATAATACATATCAAGAATTCTTAAAATTTTTAAATAATAGTGACATATATATATATTAGATAATTTGTCTCATCCATTAAGTATAGTCATGATGTATTAAAAAAAGCTGTTGAATCATCGATTTTATTTAAAAAATAAGTATACATCTTCATTAAAAAAACATCAACTATTTGCTATGAATATATTTTTTTTTTAACATTGTAAAATCAAAAATTTGAAATAAAATAATTAAAATAATTTTTTAAGAGAATCACCCATTGATTCAACTACAATTTTTTATTCGACATTATTTATTATTTTGTAAATAATATATATATACTTTCAAAAAATAATCTTTCAATCATAATTAAATAAGAATAAAAAAAATTCATTTGTTAATTTTTATACAAGTCTATACATTAATTATAGTCTTATTTTTTGAATACAATCTTAGGAAAAATATATTTTTAAAGTTTTTAAATTCTTCATTAATATATTATTTTAAATTATTACAAATTTTTTACTTAAGAATCAATCCCTAAAGAAGAATGAATCATGTTTTTATTTTTATTTTTTTTAAGTTGAAAATTTATGAAAACATAAAAAAAAATTAATTAGAAAATTTTAATTAAAAAAATTCTTCATTAATATATTGTCCCTTTTCAGGCCATAAATGCAGTTAAGCTCTTGTACGTGATACCCTATAAACCCTCCGTTGGCTCTAAGAGTGCTGTTCAAGTTGTAGGATGTGGATATCTCAAGGTCATCCATCGAACAACAAAAGAATTTCATTGACTTGTCGATTACTGTTGAAGGTTCGCAAGAATATATTCAATCTTTAAAACCTTCTTCTATGTACTCAGTTTTGTAAACTGAAACTGCACATTTAAGTTGGAATCATAGTTCCTTTTCTCTTTTCCTTTTCATTTATCACTTTATTTAGGTTCAGATCAAGAGTTGTCATAAATTGGTCTATGACAGGACGTGACCAAATTGCACTTGGTTAATTTAAATAAATAAATAAGGAAAGAGGCCTAACTCACAAGTTTGATAAAATTTTAGTAGCCTAGCCAGATGTGAACCATATTCCTTGTGTTCGAAGATAAAAAAACGAGTTACCCGAAGCAAACCACTACAATGACATTTGCAAATGATAAAACATGAATTAATATGGTCAATTTAAAAGCAATAAATTGGGACGGATTTGTCAACAAAAATTGTTCAGCTATAGAGAGTTATTTATAAATATATTTTAACTAAAGGACCTGTTTGAAAAAAAAAATGTAAACACAATACCTAATTGAGTGATGTTCAATAATTGAGGGAACAACAAATATAGTTGAGCTGAAAGACCTATTTGGAGAGAGCCTCAGCACATGAACTAAAAAATGTTGGAATAATATTTTTTTCTCTATCAATTGAGTAAAGATCCCTGCTGCCGCAGTGAGGGAAATATTAGTATTTTGGGAATATGACAATGTTTGTTACAAAACTATAACAACTTTGTAAAAATTCTTGCCACTTCGATAAACAATATGTTACAAAAACGTTACAAATCCTAGACATAAACAGGACAGGATGCTTTTAAGAAAAAGCTATTAACTAGTATACTTTTCTCTCTTTCAAATTTCATCTCAAAATCTACAAAGGAGACTGCTTACAGATAGGGAATCGACATCCAAGATAAGGAAATATCTTCACCCTCGAAAGTGAATATTCAATGATGGTTGCAAAAACAGCGTCTGCTGAATGGAAAGAGCTAGGGGTAAAAAGGGATGGAATAGAAATGAAGAGACCTTTTTTGTTCGACCATCTAAACTTCCAGCTTCAGGACCTGATTGAAAAAACAGAGCACAATAACCATCCATCCACCCACATAAATAATGGATAAAAGTTTCTATGCATCCCTCTACTCTTAATTTTATACTAATTTCTCCCCTTTACTTTTATTTATATGAATGTCAGCCTCCTACTTTCAAAATGTCATTATTTAGTCCTTATTTGAACGGTAGGTAGCTAAGATTGCCCTTAAATCATTCGGTAACCATCACCAAATAATGAAACATGTCCAAATGCATATAGTATACTACATATACACATCTTTATTTACCTTTTCCTTTTTCTGTTTTTTTCTTTTCTTTTCTTCCTTCTTCCTGTGCTCACTTTTCTGTCCTAATGTAACCTGTGGTATCCTCAATTTCAATTTCCTATAAAATTCAAGATGTCTTTCTCAAGAATTTCTGTGGCAAGGTTACTAGGTGACAATGTCAACCAATCCTCTTCACTTTTCTAAATTCTCACATTGACATTTACACAAACACTTTAAGAACAATTCTCTCAATCTCATTAAATTACTTTCTCTGCATTTCTACATCCCTCACATTTCTCTTCATTTTATTCAAGGTATTGCACTTTCACTCATTTCACTTGTTGCAATACATTATCAACACATAAGAGGCTCGCTATACCATTAAATAATGGTTATACAAATTTAACTAGAACTTCAATTTTGATCAATAAATTTAATGGGTTGCATATGTTTATTTATTTGCCTATTTGAAGAAACTAGCAGAGTGAAACTTTGCTGGGTTGGTGACAAAGTAGATTGATGGCTACAGCGAAATGTTGAAATAGCAACAGTGAAAGAGAAAAGATGACTGTCCTGGTGGTGGTGAGGTTCGATTAAATATGTAACCTATGGATTGTTGCTCGTGTCTTGGAGATATCCATCTACCAGCTGATGCACCGTAGCCGATTTGGAGGATAGTGGAGATCAAGAGTATGGCATGGAGAATGCCACCATGAAGGACATAATTTTTTGTTTTTGTTAGATAGGAATGTGAAGGAAGGAGAAAGTTTACAGAAAGAATGAAAACAGAGAAAAAGGAAGGAGGGAGAAGGGACAGGAAAAGATGGTGCTTTGGTGGTGGTCGGTTTGGGGGTTAGGGGAGTTGTGGAAACCATGGTGATTTGATGGAAGAGAGAGAAGGAGGAAGAAGAAGAGAAAAAGGAAACGAAAATAAAACATTGATTATTTTCTTTTCTTTATTTTTTAACCTTTATTTTTCAGGTTATATGATTTCAAACGAGTATAAATACTTTTGTTTTTTTTTTTATGTATATACTGTAGGATACTTGACATGTGTCAACATATGGTGGGGGTTACTGGCTGATGGAAGGGCTAACCTGGTTTTCAGTTAAATAAGGACTCAACGAAGATAATTTTGAGAGTAGAGGGGGGACATTAAAAAAATAAAAGTAGACGGAAGAAACTAATAAAAAAATGAAGAGCAGAAGAATGCATAGAAGCTTTTAACCCTTAAATAATATTCAAAAATCGGTAAGATATGCTGAAGCTCAGAATGGTGCAACTGAAAACAGAAGTTCTGGAATGACACAAGTGGGTTGATTCATGGTGACCATAAAGTTAATCTTGCTGAAAATTACAGTAATCACTTGATGATTCACCTGCAGAAACTCCCATAATCTGTTGCATATGGTCATTTGAGCCTATAAGCTCTTTAAGGTGAAGAAACATACCTGGCTTAATCTTAAATTTCAGGGTTTGTGGCTGCCTTCTTGAAATGAACTTGATAGGATGATCTGTTGATGGTCTGTGCCGGTCTGTCGCAGATATCAGCTAAAAAGCAGACCATTAAAATGGGTTTAGATGGTACACAACCAATTTACAAACAAACAAGAAGCCAAAATACATATGAGCAAAACATGCCCACACAAAAGCTCAGGCAATTATAAAACTTAAAGAACCCATTTTCAAAGATGGGCACATGATTAAAAAGTCAAGGCTACCCATAATGGAGGTAATATGGCTAAAAGCGCTACTTGCCAGCTTTACATTTATAATTCAAGTCCAATTCTAATGAGGTACAAGCCATGTACAAAAACAAGAAGCTCATATAAAATAGTTAAGGAGACATTTTAATTCAACTACCTAAAGCAACACAGCTTATACTTGTCCCTCAAAAGCTCTCCTTTTACACTCCAACAATACCAAAAATAGTTACCCATGAATAAAACAAAGTTATCAAAGGGCAAAGGTGTGCTCAAGGAACTAGGTAACAAAAAGCACTCATATGGTGCCACGTTATTGAACTTGTAGATGTGTTAGAAGCATCTAAAATTGCTGTCAAAAAGATGTAGAGAAATAAAGAGAATATTGATTAAAAAGTTGGGGAAAGAGAAACAATGACAGATTTTGCTGCAAACCTAGAACCATAAACATCATCATCCATTGCCTCTAGCTGTCTTCAAGAATAAAAATATACATTCCCCAAAATATCATTGACGGAAGTTAAAGAAGTCTACATAAGCAACTTTAGAATCAGACCCTACCGCTTTGCCCTTCAATTGTTTTCCGAAGAAGGAAAAAAGGGCCTTAGAAAATATTAAGGTTAAACGGAGTAAAAGCAGATCACTCACGAACATGTTTACATAGGACAGTTGCTTTCACCTTAGATTGAATAGAAATCAGATGACAGAGGGACCAAAGTATCCCTCCATGTTTGGCTAAGCATGCATGTTTAGTGACCACAGTCGAAATAAATAACCTTCCCCCCAAAATCTTGCCATCGTCCAGGACACAAGCTTCGAGGGGTGCATTCTCATATGCTTTTAGGAAAGTAGCATAAATGGGGAGAGGATATTGATAGTGTTGGAATCAGACCTTTTCATCATACCGAAAGAGAGATTGATCAAAATATGGTGAAGGACTCAGTGATTGACAACTGAAAGGCAAAGATGTCAGCATCTTCTTCACAAACTGCAGAATTCATTAACTGATCAGATGAAGCTATGGAAGCAGAGGTAGTGTACCACAAAAATTCAAGGCAATACATGGAATTTCATCACTGTGCATTACATGGCACCCAGAGGAAAGGAGGGGATAAGCAAGAGAAAGGATATCAATAACACAAAACACAATTCACATAGGTTCATATACTCATACTTAACCTGTGAAAGGCTGCTGGTTTTATTCTTAATGGACCGTACTTGCTCGAGAGCATGAATGTTATTTGAGTGTGATGATATGAAATTCATGTAAGACAAATTTCTTGACGTAGCATAGAAATGGTCACACAACTGCTCAAACAAGAGATAAAGCTCATCTGCTGAATTCTACACGAAGTCATAAATTATGAGCATGTTAGAGAAGTGCAAAAGGTTCTTTAATGGCATTAAAAAAATTATGATTCCCAAATACATACCTGGTAAAATGCAACAATTTCAGTTGTCTCCATGTTATATACAGCAAAGAATGATGCATGGTGATCAGCATTTCGTGATACCTGAAGCTAAAAATATGCAATCACCATTATCAAAATATTCCAACGCAAAGCACAATGACCGATTGCACGAGAAAGTGACAATTTATAGAACTTCACATTACATATTAAGGACTAGTAAATAAATGTTAATAAGCTTGATCTCTTAATCAGTTTAGTGGCATAACCCCCACAAAGGCTTGCAAGGCCATATCAAAAATATAAATTAAACTGATAAAGGTTTATGCTGATTACTAGAAGATCTGAGAATTACAAAAGATATCCAGGATTTATCAGCTCTGAGCCCAACATCTACTTATTTAAGTAACAAAGGATTCTGCAAATATCTTGCTGTTTGTACAGGGCATAGTGTTGTTAACTTGAATAGGAGCAGGAAGCAATCTCAACAATAAGAAGCCACATGCTGTACTTTAGGTGTTGTTATCATTCCACCAGAAATTCATGGCAATCAAATTCTTTACATGAAATTCCAGAATTCCATTCACACAACTGGAACATTAATCATCCTTAATGCTGCCAATTGGGAGATTTAAAGGCAATCTCCGAGTGATGGAACCAAGTAACCCGGATTTGCCAGGCTGTTCAAGATAAGGCAATATCTTTAAGCATGTTTCAAAAGAGCAGTCTGGCCGCTATCATCTATTGTCCAGCCAACCAACATGCATTTCATTACTAAATTCATCCTATAATAATTTTTGATATCATGCTCAATGATAGTTGAAATAGACACAAATGATCTTAAAAAATAAAACTCATTGGCATGGATAAGAGGAAGTGAGTAGAATTTGGCAAATCAATTTGTACCTATTAAAAGACAAGTTTTTCCAGTTTAACTCCAAACTACTTAATTCTACCATGCAACTCCATTTATGTAAGACTCGTGGAAACAGCCCATTGAACCCTGTGTAATCACATCTCGAATATGTTGAGGAAATAGGAGAATTGAGTTTGCTTGCCAGGCCAAGGAGAAATGGAAAAGTATACTTGATGTGGTATTTGACATTAACTAGAATAATATCTGCTTCATATGCTCTGAAAATGTGCCCTCTTTGGAGATGCACAAAGATTTCATGATCTCAGTCGAGTTCTTTCCATTTCCATTATCCTAAAGACAACTAAATAACATATCTCACTCAACAATCAAAAGTATTTATATCACATTTTCCCTTTTTTTTTTTTTTTTTTTTTTTTTGGGTGGAGGGTGGGTGTTTGTGATTCCACATAATCATTCTCAGACCTTTGACATGATTAAAGTGTAAAGTATAAAAAACCTCACCCCTCCATCAACACTCCCAAACTTGATTAGCAGATGATGACGATCCAAGAATTGTACCTGTTCAAGGGTATATAGAAATAATTAACTACATGTGACATTGATGGACATCATCAAAAGTTGCTTTAGCATTGAGCATAGAAAAAAAGAAAAAAATCAAGATAGCACATTTTTGCAGCTCATCTACGAGAAGGGCCAAAGGGGGGTACAGACATTTAGAAAACAAAAACTACCTCACCTTCCAAATAATCAAGTCGACATAATCTTGGAAATGGAAATAGAACTTCTTCTTCAAGCACTGGACCCTCTGACAAAGCAATGGTATTACTGTGTGAAAATACTTGTGAAATATTCAAAATTGTTCCCATCGTCAGAGATATTAACCATTAAAAGCATTCCAGATCTGCCACACAGTTCCGCAATGAAATAATTTTTTAAAAAAAGAAAAAAGGAATACATTGATATAATGAAAAATAAACAATTCCAAATTTGCTAAATCTTAAAAGATAAAAAAATAAAAATTTGTATGCCTTGTCAACCATAAAGGTAATAAGACAAACTAGAGAATTTTACAATCCAAGTTTTTTTACCTCAAATGATTGTTGCGTTGTAGCATTGAGTATTCTGAATATTAGGTATCTCAAAATTCCAGAGATACTCCGTGATATTGAAGGTGATGCAGGACAGCTTAGGGGCTGTTCTGGATCTGACTTTGGAGTCTGTTTAAGGCTTTATTGATGTGGATTTCTGCTGGAATTGTATAAACTATTAAAGTCACACTAATAGGGTTTCTAGGAGTCACATAAACTATTAGAGTCACACTAATAGGGTTTCAAGGAGTCAACACCTAGAGTGTAGAAAAACCTAAGCTTCACACCTACAGTTCTTAGAAGTCACACAGAAGAGAGATTGAGTCACACAATCAAAAACAAATTGCTAGAATTTTATTCATAAACTTTAATTGAAAATATTGAAAGACAGGGTTCTAGCAGTTCAAATCCAATAAGACTTAAATTCCTCAATAAGAAAATACTAAGTCTATGTACAATAGGTAAAACCTAATAAAGCTAATTACTTCTTAGGACTAATAAAATACTAAATAGAAATTAAAAACTAGACTTAGATAATTTCCAGATATTTCAACAAACCTGAAAATTACTAAAATACCCTTTCATTCTAAAACTTAAATAAAACACAAAAATCTTAGTCTTTTTGTCCTCCACATTAGAAGGACAGATCTTAACTTAGATGGGTAATTAATAACTTGGACTTGTGGTATTGAAATCATATATGAAATTCTATATTATATACCTATAAATATAAAGCTGTGATGCACGCATAAAAGTCAAGAATATGCAGTCACCAAAACAAGTAACTAACTATAACACGAAATTTATCTTTCACAAGTTATTTAACGAAAACACAAAGTATGGACAATGACGTTCTATACTGAATTAATATAAGGCAAGAAATGGAACTAGAAAACACCTGAACTGCAGTATTTGTCATTTATTAGTATATGAATGGTTCAAAACATCTAACAAGATGATGGGATAAATTTTCAAAGATTGTCTTGAGGCCTTAACATAACATGGAATTGAAACACCAAATAACCAACCTGGATTTTGTCAGTTTCTTCACTCCATATTCGTCTAAAAATGAATGAAAGCAAGCGTTGTTTAATGCAGCTTAGAAAAGAATTGTCTGAATTCGGATGAGTACTATGCACGCCATTATCGACATGATTCCCAGATGATTGATGCAGTTTACTTTTGTCAGGTACTGCCATGCACTGCAATCCATAGCTCAACAGAAAGTTGTCAGTTGGACCAGGCACACAAAATAGGAAGTTCACAAAAGCCAAACTATTGCCAAAGAAAAGATAAAGGTGTGTCTAGTTTATGAAACTGCATAAAGGAGCAAAGATATTAAGGGTATTCAAAAGCTCAAGTGGTGCTTTATATATGGTAATATTGGATGGGACAGAGCAGGAATCTTTTTAGGTCATACGATATTACAAGTTTTATTGTCCTAGTGAACTCTGAAGTTTGAAAATCAGATGAAAACTTTCTGAAACAAAGCTTGAAAATAAATGGCACTTGCCTGAGTGCTAGAATTAAGAAAAAGTTCATCATCTTCACGACAAAATGCACCTATAGCACGCACATCGACAAAGTTACCGGATTCCCTAATTTGGAGAATGTGTATTGTTTGATAGCGAAGTGACACAATGGCCAGTAAATCATCATACAAGAAGACACCCATGTTATGGGCCAAGTTAATAAAATCATTGCGAAAGACCTTCTCATCCAGTATCAACCCATCTTCCAACCTAATTATAAACACGTAGAAAAGGAATGAAAAAAGAACAAATACAGTGAGAAAATTGGAAAGCAGAGCAATATCTCCTTTGCGTTTGGGGGGAAGGGAAGACAGAATATCGGTGAAATATAAAGTGTACCTCAAGAGGTGAAAAGTAATTCTTTCTATGGACGGGACTCCTTGAATAGCCCCTCCAATAGCAGGCGCATCATGAATTTGAGCAGTGGAAGTAGCAAATAGTCCAAACTGGTAGCTGTCGACATATAGGAAGAAATCTTTGCAAATAACCTCGTTGCTGGAAGCAAGAGAGACACAATAGAGTTGATTGAAGAAGCTGTCAAACCTCTTAGCTCTTGACGGAAGATGACAATCTTCTTGTTTGTAGGAATAGGAGAGCCAAGTGGGTCTATAAACAACGAGATCCTGGTGATTTCTGCTAAAACTAATGAGGTATCGACCATCATCGGTGAATTTGCGGAATGAATGATCGGGGCATTCAACATCATATATGGTGAAACTAGGCACTAAATTCTCGTAGAATCGCCTAGCACAATGAACCTGGAAATATTCATTAATTTATAAATATTAAAATTTTTGGTGTGATAAAGTAGAAAAAGAGGAGATGTGTTTGTTTTAGTTACATACGCTGGTGCCAGGAGGAGGAGTTTTGATTTGGCGCTGAAATATCCTGGCGACCACATTGTCGTTCCTCACCATATCAGCACACTAGCAGCTGCTGCTTTCGCTTTTGCTTTTGCTCTTGCAATGGAAGAAATCATATGGTAAAACAAATCCCTAAATCAACACAAAATATCAAACGCAGCAGCTGCTGCTGTGTGAGTGAGTTTTTGCACAATTTTTTTTTTTCTCAAGACCCAACAGGAGTAATTAATTAAATGAAATGAAAACCGAATAAATTCAACACAACAGAAGAAGAAATATAATATGGAGCAGTACAATTTTATCACAAATATCAATTTTCCATAAAAATAATAAGAAGAAGAAATAGTAAACCTCTTTTTAGAGTTGAGAAGAAAAATGGACTTCTTTCTAGCTCCAATTCCAATTCGAATAGGCAAGGTTGCAGTTGCAGTTGCACGCATCGTTCACTCACTAGGACTGCGCATCTCTCTCCATATAAATTCCTTCCTTTCTTTTCTGGGTCGGAGTATTTTGTCCCAGTTCATTTGCTAATATTTCGAAGAATTTGATTTTTTTCTTATTTACTTCATCACAACACCATCCGGGTATGTGGTTTTCGAAGGAAACTTCAATTTAGTCCCGAATATATTAGCTTATTATCAATTAAGTCTCGGATCTTTTAATTTTATAATTTTTTCCCCAAATTTAGCTGGAGTTAAATAGTTTCAGTCATTCGATACTTCATCAATTTTTAGCGGCAATTAAAAGATTCTGTCTAATTAACATATGATGGATAAATGTTATCATCAAACATATCAAAATAAGTTTCATATGCCCTGAAAAATAATGTTAGCCTTACATAACTGTCTTATAAAATTCACTTATCAAAAAATATTAATCATTGGATGGATATCTAATGTATTAAAAAAAAAAATGAATGGTTGATATTTTTTTGATAAATGAAGTATGTAAGATAGTTATGTAAAATTAACATTATTTTTTATATGAAAGGCAAAAAATAAGATTTTATATTACATGAAAGATAATAATGATGTTAAATCGTAATAAAATTATCCTTTTTGCATTAATAGAAAAAAATTAAAACAAAACGTAAAGTTACCGTATAAACTATCCTTTATACGAGACACAACTTTCTATGAATTGATTGTTTATATATGCTTTTTTTTTTTTTTTTGTTACAGTTCTCTCTTTTCTCATTCTTTTTTATTTCTTACCCTTTCTTTTATTGTATTTTGCTTTTACGTCATTGAGTGCCTTCGATTATTATTTTTTTACCCATCTTTGGATCCTTTAATTGAAGCTTTGCTTGTCCTCTTCGCACATTTCCTTTTCAAGAGCATTTAATGCTCCTACATCTTGAATTTTTTTTTTCCTTTATTATTGATTGCCATTGTTTGTCAATTTTTTTTCCCTCTCATTTCTTTCTTTTTTTTTTTTTTTTTTTTTTGGAAACAAGGACAATACCACGACACACACACATATATATCAAATATTCGACGAGTTGTGATGAAGGAAGAAAAATCCCTAGCTATCATAATTGTTGAATCATAATGTATAACTTTATTTTATTTCATTTTCACCAACCCGACTTTTATCTTCATTCTTCAAACAAAAACACATTTATCGAATATGTCCTCAAACATTCCACATAACTCGCTTAGTTACATGAAAACATATGCTTGCATATTTTTGGATGAATGAAACGATGAGTTGTCATCGGCTAAACATTTTTTTTATATAACTTATATGTTCTTTACGCTTTATCGTTCAAGTTTTATTGATATTATTGAACCTTTAAATATACTCTTCTTATTATCATTAAAAAAAAAAATCATCTATCATCGCTCAAATTTATGTTTTGTTTTTTCTTCAAACAACCATCTATCATCAAAACAATTAAAGAAATCAAATTCAAATGTTGCCTTCTTACAAAAACAAACAACAATAGTTTATCATTTAGCATTCATTTTATCGTGACGTAGCACGGGCATTAATCTAATGAGTTACTAAAGTGGAAAGGAAGTTATTATAGTGTGATGCTAATATTGTACTTTATGACATATTAGTAAATTGTTGAACTTTTATGAATAATTTTGGAATAATGCTAGTAGTATTTAAGGTTTTTTTTTTTTTTTTGACCAAATACTTCTTTTGGAGTCCAAGATATGTTGTTTAAGGACATTTTGAGACTATTTTTTTATGAACGACCTCTAATCCATTTCGATTTAGTATTTTTAGGTACCTATTATTATTGTCTTCTTTACTTTGCACAATGGATTGGCATTATTAAGCTTTGTAGCCAATGGTTCTTTCATATTTATCCCCAATTTTAGAATGATAAGATTTTGGTCAAAAAATAGGTGTCAAAATTCAATGTTATATAGTTGTTTAGTTAGTAATGTCAAAAAAAACCCCATTTAACCCAAAAATTAAAGTTATTAGATGAGACTTTATGATGATTTTATATTATTCTCTAACATACCACGTCAAGTGAAAAACCTTTTGGACTTAGAATTTTGCACGGACCTACCTTACTTTATGCTTAATTTTTAATTTTTAGTTAATTATTTAAAGTAGAATTGTAAGATTTGAACTTTTAACCATTTGATTAGTAAGATTCTAATATCATATCAAAGAACTAGTTAAATCTAAAAATTTAAACTAATAGGTGAGATCTTAAAATGATTTTATATTACTTTATCACAAAGATACGAACTAAGAAAAAAAGAGCCATGTTGTAACGCCCCGATCTAACTGTGGGCAAGAATGCCACCGATAATGCTTCACACTCGTAGTGCAATGAATGTGAGACATTAAACTTGTCCAACACCTATTCCACTTGCATCACACTCAATCTTAAAAGTTTTAGCAAAGTTAGGTAAAGTAAGCAAAGGTCCCGAACTAAGTTTTTCTTTAAGTAAGTTAAAAGCATCATCTTGTTCTTTACCCCATTTAAATCCCACATTCTTTTTTATGCATTCAGTTAATGGTGCAGCAATTGTAAAGAAATCCTTAATGAATCTTCTATAAAAGTTAACAAGATCATGAAAACTTCTTACATCACTAACATGAGTAGGTTTTGACTACTCTTTAATTACTTGTATTTTCTTTTGATCAACATGCATTCCTTTATCATTCACAACATAACCAAGAAAATTAAGTTTATTAGTGCAAAAAGTGCATTTCTTTAAGTTAGCATATAACTTTTTCTTCCTAAGTGTGTATGTTGGGAGAAGTGTTTGCCACACATGGAATTTGCTTACAATCGAAGTGTGCATGCTACAACCGGCCATTCTCCATTTGAGGTTATGTATGAGTACAATCCATTAACTCCTATGGATTTGCTGCCTTTACTAATTGATAAAGCTAATTTGGATTGTAAACAAAAAACTAAGTTTGTCAAAGCCTTGCATGAAAGGATACATGCACAAATAGAAAAGAGAACTTTTCAATATGAAAAGCAACACAACAAGAACTGTAAGAAGATTGTATTTAAACTTGGTGAGTGGGTTTGGGTACACTTAAGGAAAGAGGGATTTCCTAGCCAAAGTAAGTCAAAATTGATGCTAAGAGGGGATGGTCCATTTTAAGTCATTCAAAGAATCAATGATAATATATACAAGTTAGATTTACTAAGTGAGTATGGCAATGTAAGTGCCACTTACATTGTTTCGATTTAACTTTGTTTGATGTAGATATTAAAGGTGATGATTCGAGGATGAATCTTTTCAAGGAAAGGGAGAATGATATAAATCAGTAAAAGGATATTTTAGCCATAGTTAGAAGTAACATTAAGAAACAAGATCCTTTAACCACTCATGGAGGGCCGGTGATAAAAGATAAAGTTCAAAAGATTAAAGAAGCATTAACTTGTTTACTTGAAGACATTTGGAAGGAACAAACTCACCTTAATTCTATCAAGGGCCTATGTATGCAAAACGACCTTAAAATTATTAACATGATTCAAACATTTTCAAATCATGAAGACAATGATCCAAGCCACATTGTTTGAATCAATCCAACCCGTTGAAGAATAAAAGGCCAATCAACCTTGATTATATGTGTTTGGATCTTGAGTTGTTATTTTATGTTATTTTGGATTTTAGTAATTTGGGCTTAGTTTATTTGTTATGTGAATTCAATATGCTAAAATTAGGGTTTTATTTAAGTGTGAGTTTTATTATCACTTGATTAGAATAAAGGGTTACAAGGTTGAACTATTTAAAGCCAATAATCATGGCTTAGTTATCATGTAACGGGGCTATCATTAAATGGGCGGTTACAATTTGTATTGAATCAGAATTGAATATTGTGTCTTAGCCTTTGTTCTATATAAATAAGGCTGATTCTCCTCATAAAGACATGATTTGATGAATATAAAAATATTTGAGCTTTTTGTGAGAGTTTTGTTTAAAGTTCTTATATTAACTTTAGAACTTATCAAACTAATTCAATTTGTGGCGTTCAATACCTAAAATTTTTGTTTTCTTTTTAACTTATCAAACTTCTAAGTTTGTGGTGTTTTGAAGGATTCAAAGTGTTATTCTAATTATTTCATCATCATTCCATTGATAAAGAGATTGGAATAGTTTGTTTCCTACTTTCAAATTTGAACAATCCAGGTTTGTTTTAATTGAGGAGGGTGTTAATTTGCATTCCATAAATAACTATTGGAGTGCATAGTTGCTAAATTAATGATTTCCATTAAGTGGTTTAGATGGTATAGGGTTAGAAGGATGCTTCACTCTAGATCCCTAAGATAATCATAAATGGTAAACAATCTTTTATTAGGGTGTGGTCTAGGATTCTACTTGAACACCACTATTGTTGTCGCCCTTTACTCTCTTGTCGTCTTTATGAGTGGCTTTGATCTTGTAAAAAATCTCGATGGTCATTAGTTTAGTAGAAATATTCATTGGATTTCTAACTATGTGTTCACTAATTTTAAAATTATACAAATACTTGAAACAATAAGAAAACTATTACTTTATATTCTTATTGAAAATGAAATGGCTTAAATTTTGTTACTGATCTCATAATTGATTTATGATGAG